GTCTCTTCTATCTTTTAAGTAAACCCCAAAATCCTTCTCTCAACTTCAATGTCTCACCTCTTGTTACTTTTGTAAAGATTATAGCCAGGAAAGGTCTACAGGGTAGGTCTATGTGGAATTAACTCAATGGCACCCAACAAAAGCAGCAAACCTCTCACTAAATAATAAGTTCTCTAAAAGCCAGAAGTGCATCTTATAAACCTTGACATTTCTTGTTCCTGGACCAGATACTCAGATACTCAATGATATTTTTGTAGCCAAACTCAATATAACTAGACCAGTTTTGGAGTGGGTGAAACCAAATTTCTCCTTGGACGCTAGGATTTTGAATCTCCATCTCACCTACTTTGGGCATGAAGCCAGGAGGGACCAGTCCTTGGAGAAGGACATCATGCTTGGAAGGGTGGATGGACAGTGCAGGAGAGGAAGAACCTGCATGAGATGGATTGATACAGTAACTAGGGCAGTGGGAGTTGTTGTGTTGGAGTCCATGTGACTGGCTCTGGACAGGGCAGGCTTCTGAGCTGTGATACATAGGGTCGCTATGAGTCACAGGTGACTCGATGGCACATAACAACAAAAAACAGCAGCCTATTTTTTACACTTCCTAACTAGCTTATGAACTGTAAAAAAAAAAATCACAGTCTGGAGTATAACAACTCTTTTTTTTCATTGTCTATGGTATTGCTTTATACAAAGTATATAGTAAGAATGTGAGAAGTTAAATGTATATATTTACTAGAATATTTCTCTTTTACTTTCAAATTCATTTAGAAAGTTTAAATGATACCTGTAATTCTTTTGTTTCTTGAAGTTTTCTTTTTTCAGCTTGTTCAAACTTTTCTTTCCACGCTCTTGCCAAAGACAAACAAAATAATAGAGTCAGAATCATCCTGGTATACAAAATCAAAGAACTAAGAGACTAGGTCATCAATAATGATGAAGGAGCAATCTAGAAATAATTTAAAACTACAGTTGCCTGGGGGTAAGGTGCTCTAGTCATACAGTAAATAGCAAGACTGACTCTCTTCTTTAGGCCACCATCACTCTATGATTTCAAGCAAACATAGTATATCCTACCTTTGCATTTCTGCCATGTCTCTTTCTTGCTGATGTAGTTTCATTCTTAAAGATGTTATTTCTTGTTGACACAGCCTGTATCGTTCAGGGTCAATATTCCGATTGTTTCTTTGAGCAGCTTTTAGCTTTTCAATTTCTGCTTTCAATTCTAAATAGTTATAAAAAGATGCACTATAAGTACAATTTGATATATAATAATTTCCATATTGAACATAACCCTCTCAACTTCTACTTTATTAAGATTTTAAAAATATTATTTTATAGAGTATTTGCAGAAATCTGTTTTACTTTACTTATGTGACCTTTAAATCTCAACCAACCCTTGACCTGAAAAACATTTCTGTGTTAGTGAATACTCCCCATTCATGAGGACGGTGGAAGTAGAATTCTATTGGTAACATTGTGACAAGGAGGATAAGCTGAGACTGTTTCAGAGAAAGCTTACTCACCATACATGCTGTACATGATCAAGAATTCTCCAATCTGGAATCAAAATACTTATTTCTAATGAAAATGGCTTCATGTGTAAAACCAGAAAGGAGGCAATAAACTATGATATAGAATACTGATTCTATTCCAGTCATATGTCTAAAATGTCCATTTACCTTCTGTTGCTAAAAAAGGGCCGGAAGACAAAAGAATCCAAAAGAGTGTATTTCCATATAAGTAAAAATAAAACATAGGGTAAATCCAAACAAAGATTTGTACACCAATGTTCATAGCTGTGTTTTCAGAATAGTAAAAACATGGAAACAGCTCAAATGTCCATCAACAAATGACTGGATTGAGAAATTGTGGTACACTGACATGATGGAATACTATGCAGCACTCAGGAGCAACAATTTTGAAAAGTTCTATATAACATGGGAGAGGCTGGAGAGCATCATGTTGAGTGAACTAACTCGGACACATAAGAACAAGCACTGTATAAGACCCATTATTGTAAAAACAGAAGGATAACCAGAGAGATGTGTACAGATACCCAAAGAGGCAAGGGGCAGGGCAGGGGATTGAGGGTGAGGAGAGGAGGAAATCATGGGGTCACAGAGTTTGATGGGTGGAGGGAGGGGGGAAAACACCAATGTACATTAATGAAACAATATAAACAAATTATTTTATGTTACCAATAAAAACATTTAAAAAAAATACTCTAAAATTCCCTGCAGGTATATAAAGCCTACCCTAGTTGTGTGATTACTGAAACATTATTACCATAAACAAAATTAGTTCTACACTACAAATTCATGATCAAATCCACGAACTAAGCAAAAGCAACAAAGTTGACAAAGGAAATGACAATGGAGGAAAGGTCCTAAGGGGAAAAAAAATAACTTTCTTTTTCATTTGCTGTAGACATCTGTGACTCAGACTGAAAATTATCTTTATATACCTGCTGTTTTCCCTTACCCACATTCTAGAGCTTTAAAAAAATTTCTGGTTGTTTTCTTGCATATTACTTATTTTCTTTCCCACTCTTTCTATCTTACTCCATCACTAGATGTCTAGGATTTATTATAAGCAGATATAGGGGGAAAAAAATCCACCTTTTCTTAAATTCTTTCCAAGGCTAGAATTTGTGAGACTGAATCATTACAAAATTATACTAAAGTTTTTAGAAAAATATTCACCTCTGATTAACTTAGCATTCATATCTTCATTTACTTTGGCAATGTTGACTATCAGACGGGCTTGGTTAGCATATCGAAGTGTGCTTAATGTTTCATCTATACTGCTGGCAGCAGGACTGATTGTAGCAATCATTGCAGTTTTTGAATTTCCACCGAGACTTTCTTTTAGCAACCTTCAAGGGGGGGGGGGGGGAATGTCATAATTAGGCTTTGTTTCATAAAAACCTAGTAAGAGTAGTCTAGAAAATACAAAACAAACCAGGATACACACAAACACACACACACACACACATATACATACATGTAACACAGTAGGCTCTTAACTCAAATACTATTTCATGAACATCCTATTTTCTCTTATAATTTTTATACTGGTGGCTATAGGATATTTAGTAAAATTCCTTTCCTTCCTAGACTGAGAGCTACTTAAGGAAAGGGACTATATGTCTTGGTTTTCTGTGTATTTAATAAGTGTTAACACAGTGAATGAACTATAAACCAATTTTGGATTCTCCTATATGAAAAAGGCTTAAGGAAAAAGAACCTAAGAGACTAAAAAGCATATTCTTTAGTAATACAAAATGTATTTCACTATTCTTAACTTCAGATTTTCCTCGTATACATCTTTGCTGTCACAATCACATTATAATAAACCAATTAAAGAGACACATTTCTGTCAAATTGAGACATGGTCCTTGTCAGAATTATACAAAAATGTCTATCAGAAATGGTAATTAAACCTAAACAGATGTAACTTGAATGTGATATTTCTAAAATTAAATACAAATTCATGAATTAAAATATTTATTGGGTACCTCTGTGCTGACCAGTGGGTAATAAGCAATTAAAAATCATTTTGTTTCAGTTATCAGTGTAACATGTAATACATTACGTCACCAGAGTGCCTTTTAAATTAATACAGAACATACTGTATGTCACATGTTGTTAGGTGATGCAATTCCTTGGAAAGGGACGTAATACTTGGAAAGGTAGAGGAAAAGTCAAAGAGAAAGACCTTCAGTGAGAAGGACTGATACAGTGTCTGTGGCAATGGGTTCAAGGGTGTCAGGGATAAAAAGGATGGAGCAGGATAGCACAAGGTTCAGATGGGTTGTACACAGAGTTGCTGAGTCGTACCTGACTTGATGGCACTTAACAACAATAACATACTTAATATATGTGAGTTTGAGAGAAACATTTGATCTTCATTATAACCATAAGATAGGTGTTGCTATTATCCCAATTTTACAGATAAAGAAACTAAGATTCAGACTATTACGTGATCCATTCAAATTCAGAGAGCTTTTTATAAAATAGAGAGCTGAGATTCAAATCCAGATGGTTTGTTTCTGGAGTTTAGATTATTAAGCACTTGTCTGTATTATTCCCTATCCTAGCAGTATATGAAGTCAAGCTATTATTTTCATTCTACAATATTCACTTTATTTCAGAAAATACTTGCCATGTAAGAACAGATTCACGATAAGGAATGAAAACTCTCTTTTGGTGCGCTTGTTCAGAAAGGGCGGATATAACCTTTCCTAGAGTGAGCAGGGACTTATTAATACTCACACCTTCCTATGGACAGAGAATGGAAAAAGAAAAAAGTTACAAACAACCGTTCAGCAATAACTCAACGTTACAAAGTGTATTTTACCCTTAAGATTTAAAGGTTCCTAAAATGTTTATTTGCAAAATAATCATCAGTGTTAAAAGTCGTTTTAACAGTAACAGCACTGTATTCTGTAGTCCGAAGATGAAGATATTTGTGCAGGGTAAATTTATTCCGTTTGCAATTTCCTCCATAATTAATCTCACCAAGAGGAGAAAAACTCCACACTTACCTTCAGGCGATCTCCACTGGTGTGAGCGGTGGCGCAGCGTTCACTGCCCGCCAGATCTATCAGGTTTATGCGGCTGGTGATTCTGTGGTCGTGTTCTTCCCCTTCCACAACTTCCGTCTGTGGCAAAACGGTATTAAAATGACTCAGTCTTTTAGTGACTTACTACTATATATACATCGTCAAGAGAGAAGGTTATGTAAAATTACCAACTATTCTTTATTTTAAAGCATTCTGTCTTAAAATTGATCATTTCATAATACATGAATAGTCACATACTCTACGGAAAAGAACACACTAGGCTTAGTATGATTGGATGGCTTAGTCCAAAATAAATTCAGTTAATAGGATAAAAATTCCCAACTATTCAGTTACATTAAGGGAACAGTCATAGTCAAAAGCTTCATACACAAATTGTTGTTTATTTCAGAATTAGCACAATTCTAAATACAGCATAAATTTTGAACAGCATTAAAAACTTAATGTGGCATCAGGATTGGAAGAAGATTTATTACAATCTGCATTATGCAGATGACACAACCCTGCTTGCTGAAACTCAGGAGAACCTGAAGTACCTGCTGCACAAGGTCAAGGACTACAGCCTTCAATATAGATTGAAGATCAACATCAAGAAAACAAAGATTCTCACCACTGGGCCAACTGACAGCATCATGATGGACAGTGAAGAGATTAAAATTGTTAACAGCTTTAGTTTGCTTGGCTCCACAATCAACACTCGTGGCACCAGCAGCCAGGAAAATTAAAAGACGTATTGCCATGGGAAGGTCTGCTGCTAGGAACCTCTCCAAAGTACTGAAGAGCAATGCTGTCACTCTGGAGACTAAAGTGCACCTGATA